CTGTACTTAGTAAATGGCGCGTTCAGAATCTGTGCTCAAAAAAAAAAAAAAACTAGCTGTTATGATCGCTCGAATCCAATTGATACTCTAAATAGAGTTTATCGTGCTTAAAAAATGTAAACTAAAACACGGACAGAAATCAGACGTGTTTCCTTTTTTAATCTCGACTCTAAGATCAACCGGAAAGTCCCGGTTCGTGTTGTAAAACACTGATTTTACCATGCTTCATGGCCGAAGTGCATACATGTAACTGACGGAGATGATGATTATTACGTTTACGCAAACAGCTATTTGTAACCAATTATCTTCTCTTGTTGATGGATCACAAATGAGCTAGTTTTTCCCCTTCTTTGTCGTTTGCTTCATTTTTGTCATATCTACACAAACATAAGTGTTTTCTTCAGGTCGGTTTGCTCAATTCCTAATAAATTTCACGGCTCATCTGCAGTGTGCTGTAAACGTGGATTATAATAAAGGTCCCGTTTACAACGTATATGAAGAAAAGATGTCTATGGATAGAGGGTTACCCTCCCAGCCGATCGAGTCAACTTTATTGGGGATCTATCTATATGAAAAAAATCGAGAAAAACGTTGACCTCTTTGCTCGAGCTTACAGCGCTCTCACATGCTCTATTACTGACACCCCTCTGTAACAGATTCAGTGGAATTTATATCTTTACCTGGTTCTTGGAGAAAACTTCACCGGGTTGGCTTATTTTCCACTGGGTTTTTTTCTTAGTCGTGTATCTCCCATAAAAGCTAAAAGGGGTAACAGACATTACATTTTTACTGGTATGAAACCTTCGAAAACCTTTTAATGTTGCTCTAGCTAGAATAATTACAAGATTTAGACACTTTTTTATGCGAGATCGATTACCCGCACCCTCCGATTTATACGATGTTTTATATTTTTGCTTCTTTTAAACAATCATGAATAGCGAAATGCACTGACCAGTTCTGTAGAAGTCACAACAGAAAGTGAACGCGGAAGTAACAAATTGGCCGGGTAGAAACAAATTTTTCGCCAGGTATCGGGGTGGCTACATTATCACTGAGTAGACTACTGAATTAGACCACTGGGTAGGGTTTCTGACTGGGTCTGTTACAGAGGGGGAATTGTCTCTCCTTGGCGAGTTTACCCGGCTGAGGGAGCGAAATTGTTAATATGGATAAACGTCGTCCCCGCTAGAAGTGTGAACCCACCACAGAGCGCCCACACAATCTGTTTGTGTAACCGATGTAATTTTATGGCAAATGTCACTTGTATTTACAGTTTGCTTCATCTGTAGTGGTATATCGCTAAATGTGTACATGTATCAAAGCTAAACAAACATTGTTACCAACATTGTTCCTTAACCTTTCGGTGAATTGTTTTCCTTTTGCCTCAGAAGTGGTAGTTTGAGCGATTTTCTGGATTTTGGGCGTGTGTGAATAGCTTCGAGAAATCGCCAACGCAAATTTTGCAGCTGGGTCCAAACCTGGACATAAGTGGGTTGATGGGGATAACTTAAGCTGATTGCGAGAAAGATGTATTTTATAAGCATGCGATGTCGGGTGCCCTTGTTGCTGGAGTTTGTTTACTCCTAAAATATGATAATAATTTGAAATAAATATGCTCGAGAGCAATTTTTTATACATACATTATATTGCTTCAACTTTGAAGGTCATTGAAAGTTAGTGAAGTCGATCAGGGCGTTGCGTTAATTTTTTGACGCAAAGTTTCGGAGTAAGTTATTGGCAATAGTTTACCACTCTATTGTTAGCCAACGAGCCTCTGGAAATAATTAATATTAATCTTTCTTCCTGAGACTGAGAACTATCTGCTGGCAATTGTTTTGTACCAACACGCACATTTTTACTGTTGCTTTTGTTCCAAGCTAGGGGTTATCGAACAGTAGAACAATTTAGCGAAAAAGAAGACGAAGCAGTTAGTGTGTTTTTATCAGACCTAAGCATACAATTTGAGACTGTTTTAGTCTTGCTTATAATCTAGAAAGGAATCCAATATTGCGCCCAGCTCCCTAGACACAGTTTAATTAAGGTGTACTCTCCTCTCGCGACAATTTAACTGGTAGAATGGATGATAGGCTTCTAGTTTTCGGGCTGCGAAACTTCAATGATTAGAGGAACCTGGTCTTACCTAGCATCCGTGACAGGTGCAAAGCAAAAGAGAAATCCCCTCCCTTTTCCCTTCCTCACTTAACCCTTTGGACGCCCGCCAAGCAGGCTGGTCTTACAAGGGTTAGAAGTGAGGAGTTCGCAAATATTATGCCTGTAATTAACCCAGCCAACAAAGTAACGTGGATGTCATCTCATTTTAAAACATTTCCACAAAGACTGAGTTCGAGATCGTGGGTTTCCGCGAAATTTTCATACTCTGCTTGAGATGACCGACTGCAGTGTGGTTCCTAATATCATTTTTCAGCGATAACAAGTTTAAGTTATCAGAGCGCTGTGGGGATTGCACTACTCAAGAAGCTAGCGTTGCTGCGTTCCTGTTACGTCTTTTGATGTTTTTTCGTCATTTATTACTTTATTAGGTTTCCTAATTTCCACCTCCCCCCTTCACAATGATTTAACAAGTTTTTCCAGCATTTGAAAAGTAACTTTAATCAGCTTTTCTACTGTCATACGCGACTTGATAAATTTGTTCCAAAATGGCGCCCTGCCAAAGTTTGAAAATGAGGAGACTCTGGGGACGAGGTTAGCTAGTAACAAAATCAATTTTTTGTCTGCTTATTGTGGCAATTGTGTCCCACAGGAAGTGACCCAGGACTCTCTCCACAAGACTCAACGCAGGCGCATAACTAGCTCGATTACCCAAGATGGCGTCCGCATGCTGCCTGTTTAAATTTTTATAGTTGTCAGATAATGCCGGAATTTTGCACTCCAAGAGTCCGTAAGTGTAAAATAGGGTAAATGCAGGAGCCGGTTAGTAATCGGCTCCTGGTAACGGTGTTTGCCATTTACTTGTTTTTTTGGGTACTTACTGAGGAGGTTTTATCAAATTTAAGTTAAAGAGTAGAAGCATAATTTCTGCATTTTCTTTGCTAAAATGAGCATAATTTACAAATTCTAGCATAATTATTGGCATGTTTTCAGAAATATATAAGCATTGCTAATTGCATATTATGCTAAACTCCAGTCAGACACACCCCCCGGGGAGTACTACCATTTATGGGCTAGAGAGGTATGTGCTGCCCTTTTTTAGTGTCTCAGTCCTAAAATAGGGTATAAGTTTTGCCCTTGTTGGCGCTGTTTTGTCGGGCTTAACAGCACGGTCCTCGATTATAAAAGTAGCAAGGTGATTAGGCTTTGTCTAAGGAAGATTAACCACCCTAGCCGAAGCTATCCCAACAGACCGAAGACTACTGCAAAGCTGATTTAAAACAACGTGTATTGTTTTTTATAACAATATTTCGGCTGGCCATACCAGTCTTCTTCAGGTTTACAGATGTAACATCTGTAAACCTGAAGAAGGCTGGTATGGCCAGCCGAAATATTGTTATAAAAAACAATACACTTTGTTTTAAATCAGCTTTGCAGTAGTCTTCGGACTTCTCGTTCTTGGTTCTTTATATTTTGGCTGATTTGATCTCTTTTCTAGAGATGCAACGTTTAAAACTAGCAAGATCTTCGTCCACGGTTTTTGCAGTTAATTTAATCCCAACAGACGACAGCGCATCTTCAAATAAAGGCAGTACCATCGTGTCATATAATGTGACACAGGCAGATTTTGGTAGGACTTAACGAGCGCAACTCAGAAATGCTAATCTAGAAAAGACATTTTTTGAATGCGTGGAAATTTTGTTGAAAATTACGACCTGTAGGTATTTCATCAGCCAAAACTGTTAACTGAATACCAGGGCGGCCCGACTAAACGCTTTCCGGCCGAGAGAGGCCTGGGACAAAAAATGTCACGAAATACCCTGGGAAAGGCTGGTCAATTTCCTCTTCTTTGTCATGAACTATTTTTGTCAAGGTTTTTAATTCCTAACTGAGCCAAAAGCATTCAGTTTTCACGATCCAACTTTTCAAGATCTGCAGCAGTCTTCTTCACAAAGCAATCCATCGTCTTAAGAGCGAGTATACCCAAGAATATTGCCTAGTCCCTGTACAGCGTTTCCCAGTCCCTCTCGGTCAATTCACTTCGGTGACGTATCCGAGGCGAACAGGAGGGAAACGCCTAGACAAAAACAGAATGCGCATGCGTGCGTTGCTGTTTAAAATTCAAAATGTTGTCGATGTTGTAAACGTCAGGAATAATGTGGATATTTGCGGGATTGACTTTTGCCGACCGGTTTTGAAAAGTCATGAGAATGTTATATTCACAGTCCTGTGAAGAATGGTTTCTGGCTCTTCAATCTCATCATTCAAGCTGAACTATCGGAGTTTGTAGCTCTTAACCCATTTAAACGAAAGAGCGAATTTTCCAAGTGAAAAGTGAACCTATGTGTAGTAAACTTAGAGCTAAAATCTTGAATAATCAGAAAAAAATACTTTCAAATAAAACTCATTAGCTGCGTATCGGAAAGTGCCCAGCTGATGACTGTTTTATCGAAACTGAGATACTGTTGCTGCGAACTCTAGAGCGAAAATGATCCTAAATAAACGTTGAAACTTGCAAAAATGATCTAGAAACAAATAAAATTATGCAGAGAAATCTAACAGAATATGAATTGCGATAACTGAAAAGAATGTGAAAGGAACAAAGAACTAGCGCGATAAACATATTTGGCGAGAAGTGCGGCAGTAACAAAGAGTTATTTTTGAATTTTAGCCTTTATTTGGGATAGTGAGAAGCAAAGCAATGCTAAACTAAGCGCTCTGCCAAAAAAAGGTTAAAACTTGAAAATAATTCTTAAAACAGGCGTTATTTGTCGACTTTTTTGGGTACTACTAACCCCAATGTAATGAAATTCCAAGGGCTTGCGGGAAAAATAGTTTTTTTTGTTACGGGGGTGTATTATTAATATCAGCTTGATTATTACGTTAACATTGTCAAGAAGGCAAATAGGGACGACTATCAAAAAAAATAAAACGAAAAAATTAAAAAAAATTGAAACAAAAAACAGATCTAAAGGTTTATTGATTGAATAAACCGCGGTTAAACTGCGTTGTATTAGTACCTTAGAGTAAATGTCCCGGAAAAGTTACACTGTACAAAGTAGAGGTAAAGGATGATAAGTTACTGAAGTTCTACAACTTCGAGAGTTTCCAAAACTTCTTATTTCAACTTACTTTTTTCTAACGTGAAGATACAGTAAAATTCCGAAAATAAGCCCCTCCCGGCAAATATAAGCCCCGTGGAAGGAAGCAGAAACGGTAAATTTCCTTTCAACTATAAGGCTAGCCCAATCGATTTTGAAACGCAAATTTCCGCCTTAGATAAGCCACTCCGAATTTAAGCCCCTCCAAAAATTAGCCCCTCAAAAAGACGCTTTGAAAAATTCAAGCCCCGGGGCTTATTTTCGGAACTACGGTTTGTTACAAAGGAGTACCTCTACAATCCTTTTCCAGAAACGCAATATAGAATGATATTATTCCGGCAGGCCACTTCTTCCCGGTCTGAAATATGAACGAATGCCACTCGTAATAAACGACACTTTGGTAGTATACATTCTTTTAGTATAATAAAGGACGTTAATTAATGTAAATTTTACCCAACGGTTTTCAACTAAATACCGAATAAGGCTAATGCAAGGCAACGACCACTTATTGCTCAATGTGAAATGATTATAGTAAATTTAGCCTGCGTAGCAAGCGTTTCCGTGCGGTGTAGGAACAAAGAACGAGGAATGAGAGTCAAAGACCGCGCGAATAAAGGCACAAGTAAAAGAGCGGAAAGGGGGTGGGGATGGAAGAAAAGAAGGAAACGCTTGCAGACAAACCCCAGGATTTTGAAAACCGCCCACTTGGCCTGTCATGCCTGAGTGCGCGCACCGACATTTGATGCTGTCAACAGCTGTCATAATTGACCAATAAAATAATTGGCCTTCCTGGAGAGGAAAAGAGGACGCGTGTATGAAACCAAAATAATTTTTCATGGAACGCGTTAATGGTGAACTCTCAATGAATCCGAACGATCATTACTTAATCAGCAATCTTGACTGAGTCACAATGCACTTTTCCATAGTTGCAATCCATTCTTCGAAATTTGGATCTGTAAATCACTATCCGAGAGGAAAAAAACACTAACGACCTGGGCCCAGCATGACAAAACATTGCGGAAACCATCGCATTCGCTGACAAAAGAAAATCGATTTTAGTTATTTAAATCCAGGAGGCACTTTGGAGAGTAAACGAAACGACCTGAAACCCTTATTTAGTCGCAAGAAGAGCTTTGCGTTTCAAAAGAAGGAGCGCAAATCGGGCAAATCTTGCCGACCAGAATAAACAACGACTACAGCGTGCGTGTCACGTACCATACATGACCTCTCAGTATGAAACAAACCTTTGATGGACACATGTCAATATTGTTCGACTAGCCGAGCCAATCAGTTGCTGCGTTCGCTGGCGAACGCAGGTTTTCAAAATCGAGGGGTTTGTCTGCAGGCGTTTCCTTCCTTCCCCTCCCCTCTTCCCCCTCTTTCACTTTTTGGCTCTCGGTCTTTCTTTCCGCCGAAACCAGGCCAAATGAAAACGCTTGCCACACAGGATATAGTAAATTACACCAAAAAATTAAGTACACTTTCGAAAAGGGGAGAATATGCGAGCCGCTGTGAAACAAATTTCTCCTGTCAAGTTCTTCAATGTAGCGTGTTTAACTCAGTGGTGTATTTCTGCAAATGGTGACAGAGAACACTGCTGAGTTTCACTGGGAACAGGTTACTTAAATAATAAACGATCTTATAAGCTGAAAAGCAATCTTGTAAGCTATTTACAAGCTGAAAATCTAGGGGTGAATCGAAACGAGCCTTTTAAATTAGTAACATATAAGTGATGACGGTCATTAGCTCCTTGGCAAGTAGAAATAATTGGCGTTTGAACTCATTTTCTTATTCACCCTGAAATAATACAAAATGGACTCTTCACGATTACAACTTTGCTACCTCAACTAAGGTATCACTTTTATCTGGCGCCTGAATAGCCTCGCCATTTCCTTCATTGTCCTCACTTTCCTGCTTCTCGCTTAGGCTTTGCTGTTTGCTGCCTTCTCTTGTCGAGGAATGCAATTCCTCGTCACCAGTTTCCAAACCCGCGTTATGAATTCCTTTAAAAGGGTTTACCACATATTGATCGTCATCTGTTCCCCCATCTTCCTGTTTCTCTTTACTGTTATGAGCCTCTTTGTCAACGTTATCTTCTTCGTCCTCTCCAGTCAACTGAAAAGAAGGGTTATCGGCTGCTAGATCTTGGTTTTCATCACCGATTTCCGCCGGAAGCAAATCTTGGCCACATTTATCTTTCTGGTTTCTACCATCTTCCTGTTCCTTACTACCATTATGAACCTCCTTGTTGACTTTTTCGTCCTCAGTCAGCTGAAAAGAAGGGTTATCGGCTGCTATATCTCGGTTTTCACCACCGATTTCCGCCGGAAGCAAATCTTGGCCACATTTATCTTTCTGGTTTCTACCATCTTCGTGTTCGTTATTACCATTATGAACCTCCTCGTTGACTTTTTCTTCCTCAGTCAACTGAAAAGTAGGGTTATCGGCTGCTAGATCTCGGTTTTCACCATCAATTTCTGCCAGGTGCAAATCTTGGCCACTTCTATCTCTCTGGCCATGGTTTCTACCATCTTCCTGTTTCGTGTTACCATATTGAACCTCCTTATTGATATTTTCTTCCTCAGCCAACTGCAAAGAAGGGTAACTGGCTGCTGGATCTCCGTTTTCACTACCAGTCTCAGCATGATGCAATTCTTGGCCACATTCCTCTTTCTGGCTGCTGCTATTAAGTCTATCCGCGCTCACTCTCACCACAGGCCGCCAACACAGCAGAGACATGTAAACAGGCAAAATGCACAAACCATGAATAAGGCCAAACCCGACGATTCCCAAGAACATTCGGAAGAAGATTCGGAATATCTCTGATGCAGCAAATGCTAGTACAATCATTCCCAGGAAGGTACTAAAACCTGAAAAAAGAAAAAGGCAGAAAACTTGAAAGTAAGAGTACAGGAAAGAGGTCCACTTACTGTCACTTATAAGCATCTGACTTATTTATATGTAAATTTTGCGCGACTAAAGTCGTTATTACATAATAAGAGCGCCTTTTGGGAAAATCGTAATAATTTGCTGAAAAACGTAGATTTCGGACGCCATCCGTTGGTGTTTGAAAGACAATGGAATTTTGACAAAGGGTAAAATTGAAACATAGTATAGAGAATGCATATAGTTACGCAGTTTAATATTTAAGCAATAGAAAACGTTTTCCGTGTTTGCAAAGCCTTATATGAACACGAGAGGGTTGGGAGAATTCGAGACAGTTACGCAAACCCGAGACGAAGTCGAAGGTTTGCATAACTGTCGCGAATTCTCCCAACCCCTCTCGTGTTTATATCAGGATATGCAAAAACAGGAAAAAAGTTTTCTATTGCTTTTATAAAATAACTTTCCCGAAAAAAAAAGGCAAAACTCTCTTGTTTAGGTCATAGATTAAAAGAGAAATTCTTACGAGTCGCGAAGTCTTGTAAATGAAGCTTATACGCGCAATCAGTCTTTGTTTTGCAAGAAAGATGCTTTCCAAAATACGGGTTTTTCTCACTTAAAATGTCAGCTCAAGCGAAAAAAAAAATTGACACAGCATGTTTCTAAAGATTTTTCAAGTTTCAACCGACGAGGAAATGGGTAAATAAAGTAAACTTGTCGAGTTTTTCAACTCAAAACCTTTTCCAAATTCGTGCTTGCGTGATTAGCGCGCGAAAAGCAAAACATGTTGACGTCACAACCATGTTTACATGCTCTCATGCAAAACACGCCTCTCGGCCAAACAGAGCGCGAGTACTATCTTAGTTATTTTATAAATAAATCTAATATATTTATTATTTCATCTCCATCTTTCCCTGGTATTTTACGAATCAATTTTATGACCAGCTCCCAGTTGGCTTGTTAGCTCATTTGGTTAGAGCATTGGTTAGAACATTTTCGGGATAGCGGAATCCCACACCTGGATCAGGCTGGATCTAGTGCAACCGCGAGTGATCAGGAAATTCATATTGATGGTTTAAACCTTTTTCGCAGCGGTAGTGCTTGCCGAAGTGGAGACTGGTGTGCTTCTACTACGCTGAAAACCTCATAGTCAGCACTGCAAAGATCTAGCTATGGCATAATTAGAGGCCATATAGATCGTGGCCAAATTTCAATCTAGAACTGCTCTCCTCTCTGTGTTTTATAGATCTCCGCTTGAGTCACCAAATTTTGCTGAAATCTCCATGAAGTGCTCAAGAAAACCTTGTTGAAATCCGACTGCATATTTTTAATCTGTCTTCTAAACTGCAACATTTCTGGATAAAAATGAGACAGCATCATCGAATATCCGATCAAATAAGATGGCAAAAATATGGTAAATGTTTGGGATCTTTTCGCTATGCAAAACGCTGTGACGGAGGCGACAGGGACAACACCTAGTACAAAATGCCAGATTGATATAATTGTTACAAGAAATCTGGGTATAATCAGGAAGACTGGTTTTGCCACTTGGCATATCTGACCACAGCTTAACATTTCCAATTGTTGACCTCACGAGCAAAAGACTTCCAACCAAGATTATACGGATAATTAACAATTACAAAATGAGGCTGAGTATAGGATGTGAAGAATTATACAGATAGAGGAGGATGTTGCCTTGGTGGATAATACGATCCTCCGTGATCTGCATAACACTTCACATCCTACTCAGCCTCATTATCAGTAATTGTTTTGTTATTCATTCAAAATATCTCTAAGTTCCTAACATGCTCACCTCCCCGCAGGCTTTCTTCAAAACTTTGGCCTATTTCTCGGTACGGTTTCAGGATATACCGAAACAGATCACGGTTTTAACTTGCAGGTAATCCTCAAAAAGTAGATAACAACCATCGAGCAATATGTTTTGCTTATTCTGGCATTTCTTCTATTCATTTTAATTCAGAAATTCAGCTATCTCGCCCTCGAATAGCCGTGAACGCCATTTTTTTTTTTGTTCAATATTGCTCAAGCAGCCTTGTTTCCATTAATATACCATCAATCAGCCTCGTTTACGTAACAGTTATTCCACGAGGGCGCGTTGGATGTGAGATGATAGATAGCCAACGAGGCACGTAGCGCCGAGTTGGCTATAATCATCTCATATCCAGCAAGCGCGAGTGGAATAATTGTTTTATTAAAAACGCCCACAAAATCTCGTTGAATCTCCCCGACTAGAACAAACCGGAAAAGACAAGGGACTTCCGCTATTCACATGCCACACGTCTATCAAAACTGTCAACGCGCGAACGGACTCTCCTGGACTGCATGAATAAAGAATCAAAACATTGTAGCGATGAACATTAGTTTTTTAAAAACTCATCGGGATTCTAGGATTTTACACCGCAGAACAGCTAAAAAGACCTGGCAGATAATGCGAAGGAAAAGAATTTTTAAGTGACAGCCGTCGAAATTACTGTGAATTTGGATTTTCGGTGCAGTTATAAAAGTCAGAACAACGGAGAAATGTGTTTTCATGTGTTTTTCGACAAACTTTCAAACAAGCTCTTGTGGCTTTTTTTGTTTGTTTTTGTCTTTTTTCTTTCGATGAAATTGTATTTCTAGTATTCTAAGAAATGAATTAAAACAATTTGCTTCGGGCGCCGTTCTATCTTTCGCGAAAAAAAATCTCAGCTAGAGCTTCCAATTTTAAACTGACGCGTACACCGACCATATATGGAGAGCGTGGTATAATATCTCATATACCATAACGGCTAAGCCAATCAAAATGCCAGAATTGCATTATCCAATGATTCAGTTTTTAATAAAATCAATTATAAAATAACTGAGATAGTACGCGTGATCTGATTGGTCAAAAACCTATGGTTTATTATGCCGGTAAACCCATAGAAAAAGGCATCCGGACCACGAGCCATAAACAAAACCAGCTTAATTGATCTGCAAACAACGATTTTAGAAAGGCTAAAAAACAGAACAAGTTACTTGCCCAGCCCTTCTTAATATTAAAAGCGTTGGTTTCCACATTTTATTACTGAGCATCACAATTCGCTACTGCCATAGCTTTAGAAGTTATAAAGTACAAAGCTGGAAAACAGTTTACATTTCACGACGATGCCAAATCGCAGAGAAAGACAACAACTGTGTGAATTTCTGGTGTAGAAAGTCTCTAGGAAAACTTAACCATGTGCCAACCAGCAACAAAACGGATAGTTTTAGCATTCTTGATTTATTTTATGTCAAAATTAAATTCCTTAATAAAAGAAATTGTTCCAAAAAGAGATCTCTGATCAAGATATGGTAGAAAACCGGCCGCCGTAGGTTGTAAACAAGTTGCCAACGATGGTGAAAGATGTCAGAGTTTCGGGCTGATTTTTTTCCAACATTTGCACAAATTATTCGGTGATATCGATGCCATAACCTACCTCAAACCACCTGACTTCACGAATCGACAAATATTAACGCCAATATGTGGCTACGGCAAAGAAACCTTTCTCCACCACTGACATATTTCCATCGGTCGTTGTACGTGCATATTAAGTTACATGCTACAACTTCGCAAATGCAGCCACGTCGTTACCGCAGCATTTCCTGATCATAATAACGTCCACAAAACAGATCTTAAACCACTGCGGCTTGTAAAAAGTGAATGAAGTCCTCCATTACAATAGCTGTCAGTTCTGTCTGTAACAACGAAATTCTTACGGATCGACTCAACAAAATACAGCTGCGTACAGTCCGATGTTCAATTAATTTCTACTTCTGTAGTAAACAAGCCATGAAAGCATTCTTTCATTGTACGTTCGCATGAATATGTGTTGACTTTTCCTGTAAAACAGCTTTCATAAGTTATCATGCAATGAGTGCAAAAACTCGTGTTTTGAAGTGCTGCTGTTTGTTGTTTTGAGAAAGTTCAACGCTATTAATTCGTGAGTCATGATTGGCTTATGATGACTTTAGAGAGAAGACGTGACTTGATCACGGTACTAGAACCATAAATTTTACCTAGAAGACTCCATTCTACTAAAAGTTATTTTATAAAAGCAATAGACCACACTTTCTATGGGTTTAACGGCGTGATAACCCACTTGGGATGTTGGGAGAACACTCGAAAAGCTTGTAAATCACTCGCCTTCGGCTCGTGATTTACAAGCTTTTCTCGTGTTCTCCCAACATCCCGCGTGGGTTATCACGCCGGTAAACTCATAGAAAGTGTGGTCTATTGCTTAAATATACTATCGAATCGATGGCAATGCTCGCATCTTCCTAATATGGTAAGCGCCAGTAGCCAGGGGATTGGAGCCAATCAGAAACGGCGAAATATTATAAATGAATAATACGGATCTTTAAGCGCTTTAACGAAGAGAATTTTTATAGCCGATATTAAACAAACACCTTTTCAAGTCTCGGGAGTATTTGATGATAATGACCATGTTCGTTGCGCGTGGGAGCTATTGTTTCGCAACGTATGTGGTTTTCACGCTCCCTTTAAGGATGGATCAACAACTCGATTTGAATTAAAAATGAAACGCTGGTATAAGCTATCTAAGAAAGCTGCTATAGCAAAACATTCTACAATCTGGCGTGATTGCAAACAGCTGAGGAACGAGATTACATCTGATTTGAGAACGGCCGAGGATACTTATTTCCACCAGATGCTTGATGAAGTGAAAAGTTCTAGAGTATATTGGAAACTGTTCCTACGCAGCCTGTGGTCTGGAGGTTATTGGGCCGCTTAAGCTCGACAATAGCAAGCCTATTAGTGGAGGATAAAGAGAAAGATTATCTTATGAATAGCTCCTTTTTTTGCATTAAAAGAAAGTTAGCTGATAGAGAGCAGGTCACATTCTTTGACTTGTTTACTACACATACTGGAAATATATGCAAAGGAGATCATCGCAGTTAAGGACACACAATAGGGCCATTTATACGAGGAAAAATAAGACGCGAACTCTGCCATTTATACGAGAATGTCTTATCTAAGACGAGGACAGCTTGTGTAAATGGTTCGCGTCTTATTTCTGTTCTTGACTTGTTTTCATGTGAATGTCGCCCGTAGCAACGGCAATCCAACGTGGCGCGCCAAAATTAACGCATGCGTACTATGCGTTCGCGCTTATATAAGACGCGAAGGTCATTTATACGAAGTTTTTCTCGTCTTAGCTAAGACTTGTCTTATCTAAGAACAGGTGCCAAGGGCTGTTCTAAAATAAGACGCGTCTTAGCTAAGCCGCGTCTTATTTTAGACGAAATGTGCCGCTTATACGGAGTGTTCGCGTCTTATTTAAGACGCGTCCTATGTAAGACGAGTCTTATTTTTCCTCGTATAAATGGCCCTGTTATGCAGTTGCGAAAAGAAAGCCTGAAGAAATTTAGGCTTGCCGGGATTCGAACCCTGACCTCTGTGATACCGGTGCAGCGCTGTAACCAGTAGAGCCAGCTAGCCAGTTGGAAGCTGGTCATCAACTTGGCTGCTCGTAAAATACCCAGGAAAGATGAACATATGAATGTCATATAGAGCGTTTTCACATGACGTCACAGCGGTCATGTTGGTGTACCCAGTAAATCCTCTGGGAGTTGAACTCTTTTCTCATGTAAATGGGTCTTTTGTTCCAATAAATTGGCATAGATGCTGGCCACGTGAGTGAAAACGCTCTATATTGGAACAATTAAGCTCCCAGTGGATTTACTTGCTCATTTGGTTAGAGCACTGAACCGGTATCGCAGAGGTCAGGGTTTAAACTTATTGGCAAGCCTGATTTTTTTCGTGCTTTCTTTTAGCAACAGCATAAGTTGCGTCTTTAACAGTGATGATCTACCTTGATGATCTACTTTTTACATTCTTTCTCTCTTTTTTAAAGTCAGTATTATGGGAATAATATCGCCTGGTATAGATGATGAGAATTAGTTTCGGGGACAAAATTGATTTCTGTTCAAGTACGTGCATTAAAGTCACCTAGGAAAATAAGGGCATGTGACTGAAAAACGAGGTGTCCATTTTAAAATCAGGGAATATCTCACGGACAAAATATGTCGAATTCTTAGGGATGAAATAGCAGCAGGAAAAGAGAATGTCGTTTTCTAATGGAAGGAAGTATTTATCAAGTATACACCAGCTGTAGTTCTTTTGTTGACTTGACTAGGGTTAGGACTTATATTGAACTAGATCATCTACTAGTGAATTTGTGGGCCACCGTAGTTTTGCAATCTTTCGGAGAACACACAAATGTGCTTTTTGCGACCCACTGCGCTTGTAAACAAGACCGAACGTTAAAGACTCCATGCGAACGAAGTGGCCCGCACAAAAAAAATACAGCTAGCTTCTTACGTCGTTCGCACGATTGTAAACTAGGTTGTTCTGCTAGTTTTCTTGTTGTCCTGCTAGTCTGGATTGGTTGATGAATAAAATTTCAAACTGTAAATTTTTAGTAGGATTAATGACTTGACTTACCTCCTAAGAGTACGCTCGCACCCACAGTACTAAGAGCTTCTACCACTCGCTCATTTACTGATAACTTGTTAGACACAACGAACGCATGCGCAATGTGTGCACTGTAGTCAACTGCAAAACCAATAGCCATGACAAGATTTATCATAGACACAGCGTTGAGCGATACATCCCAAATAACCATTAAGCCAAACAGCTCGCATATCAGGGCGGCAAAGTTGAACAACACGAGGATTGCCACGGTGCAGTCGATCAAAAAAAGGCTGGTGACGGCAAACACTGTTATGGCAGCGATCATGAGGTTTCGTATAGTCTCACGTGATATGATCACATACTGTTCGAAGAAAATGAACACCCGTGTAATAGGGAAGGCGCCGAGTTTGGACTTCTTTTCAAGATCTTCGCGAAGTGTTTGCATAGCATTTTTCTGGAATATAGACTCACCGTTACTTTTCATGAAACAGATAATGCGCGAAGCTTCTATCGCAGAGCCATTAGGAGAAAACTTCAGATCTTGGGTGAAATATGAAAACTCTCTTTTTCTGAGGAAGGCTTTCAATTCAGGCAAAAATGCTTCACCGGAAGTGTTAATTTTCCCCATTTTAGCAAACTTAGCGAACTGATCCATGCACGATAGAGAACGGGCTAAGTAATGTTTGTTGTTGTTTACAATGTTTGTTAGGTTTTTGATAGCTTCCTGAGTGGAAGATTTCTCATAATTTACATTTCCAGTCTCTAAAATGCTGACTTCGATGGAAAGTTCAAACTGTTCTGCTTCAGCGGTCAAAAATCTTTTCAAGTAAGAATTATCCTTCGCTAGGATCCTTCTGTCGAAGTTTTCATCTACTCTTGTGACTCCGTATATTCCAGCACCAAATAAACCTAGTGATAGAATTATAACAACTACTTTTGTCGCTGAATGGGTCAGAAACCTCCCCCAGGTCTCCATAGCGCGATTCGATAGCTGTGGGGTAGGGTCGTCCCAGGCTGGCGCGCCCTCCTTTGGCGAAGGCGCTCGGCAGAATGGTAAGCAGTCTCGACGACCTGATTTTATTCTCTTTACATCGTATGTCATGACGGCCACGAAATAGGTGATGATCATTATGTAGGAGAAAGTCACCGTCAAAGCCGCATAGATACAAAAATATCTGATAACAAAATAACACCTACAGTTAGTACTTTATTAACGAAACGGAACATGTTTGCGCCATTCAGTCGTGCAAAATTAATTAAAATTAAGAGAGGTGTATTTATTATCGAATGTTGAAAAAAATATATCAATAAGTGTTAATTCTACAAAGGGTTCAAAAAGGAGGTTCTCGGTTACAGATGAGTTTATTTTCCTCATTTTTAGGCTTTCTCTGAAAACTGGAAGCTTTCACATCGAGAATCTTTTAAGAGGTTGTAGCTATCAATTCAACAGGCTGGAAAGTAATAAATGTAAGACCCTCACCTTATCGCCGGAAATGAGGTGGAAGTACTAACTGCAAACGCCACAAGGTCAGTCACAGTTGTCATGGTAACAGTGGCACCTGAATGCACCATTACAGCTTTTATTACGTCAGGTACTGACATATCACGTGGCTGCCTATCAAGCTCATCCACTAGAATGAACATGTCATCGATTCCAATTCCAAGAACTAAGAACGGTAACACGCCCACGATACTGACGAAAGGAACCCGGCACCACATGGCAAGACCAAACCCAGATAGTATCCCAAGGGCCACTGCGAACACCCCTGTATTGGCGAGCAACGAATGACCAGTCAGTGGATTCAGGAACTTGCCGAGCATGACGCAGGCGAAGGAGATCATGAGAGTAAAAGTGATTGACACCAGAGTGACGTCAGAGCCGCTGCTTTCAGCAATGGCGTCGTCTAAGCTCCTCTCACTTGAGAAATGGACATTAAAACAAGAAAAATTACTTTCTAACGACTTTAGTTTGTCGATGAACTTCTTCTCCCATTCGAGAACTTTTTCGTTCTCCTTTTCATCGCTAAAATCACTCATTAGATACACCATTTGCAGTGCTGTGGCTTTTGTAATAGCTCCATCTATTGAAGTTGGGCCACCAAAAGTGCGTTGAAAGTTGTAAGAAAACGTCCGGCCATTCCGTGTCAGGGGGTTTGGGCTGTTATAGGCTTTCGTGATTTCCTCTTGAACCTGTTCTATGGTTTTACCATCCAGTTTGGTCTCATTAAACTGTAAAAATTCCAGCGGGTTAATTATCATGCAGTCGTCCAGCGTCTTTGCTTTGCGTCCTGGAAGCGTGACACAGAAATCGGTGTATGATTCCAACTCCATAACTGCACGATGTGCCTTGAAGGCCTGCCGCAGACAGTGAGGAGCTAACACATTGCGATCATCAGGTGATGCCACCAAAAGGACGATTTCCTCACGAATCTTTACTCGAAAGTACTTCGCGGCTTTGTCTAAATCCTCTATAGAACGGCTGCTTTGAGGAATGAATAGTTCCACTGTTCTGTTCTTCGTTTTGAACCAGGCGAAACCCACAGAACAAAAACTGACAAACATGAGACATATCAGGATGGTGATTAACGGGCTCTTCGCAATTCGTTCGCCAAAACAACCAAAGAGGCGCTGCAAAACACTCAAAAACCAACTGCAGAACCTAGACCACCAGAAACATGGACTGCGCGTGGAAAGGCAGCGATAGCTACGAAAAAAAAAACGTTTTAGTGTACCAACAAGTCTATTTTTAACTTTAGGGTCCGTCAATTTAACTTTTGTGGAAGGGGCTTGATGATTTCAGGAAAAAAAAAAAAAAAAAAAAAATATATATATATATATTATCTGTGTAATCTTTTTATAAACAATATATCTTGCAAATAGACCTGGAATGAAAAACAACAGCAACAACAACATTCCATGCACAGGACAGTCTTAATTCGATCTACTTCGATCACAAACTTTGGTTTGCAAAAAACTTCTGACCTAAACTAAATCACCGACACTGCCCCTCTTCTCCAACACTACACCCTTTACTGCTGTTTCGAATAACACGCGACCTGCGATGTCAAAAACGTCTTTGGGTTTTGGGTTTTTCTGCGATGTCAATCAATTAGGGTCTTTAAGATAGGTCACTACGGTAGGCTGGGACAGCTGGATAAAAAGCCGCGAAGTCATGTGCGAAACTCGCTTGTCATTTCTTTCGCAGGAGGCTCAATTACTGAAGAAGAGTTTCTTAGTTTATGCGAAGAATACCAATCAGAGGAATAAGGGTACAATCAAAGCTAGCTAGTTTCAAAACTGTCGTCGACGTTTTTATTTGAACTTTCTTTTCCTAAGCCAACACCTTTTGAGTTAAAAAGAAAACTTTTCTTGATAAAAATACAGTTTTAAGTTATAAAAAAGACGGCTACAATCATCACTGTTAGGCCCAGTTTTCGCTTTTTTTTTCATTTCACCGATAGGTAAATCAATGTGAACACAAGCCAACGCATATTTAACCCATTGGCTACTCAGTTTTAGAAGAAAAGTGTCAATAAGTATGCATGAACTCTTATCGGTTTCAACGTTGTCTTCATGACGAGAAACCCCGGCGAAAACATACCGTCCCAGAAGGACGACGGTAAAAGGTCACGCTTGTTCTACCTGACGTGACATCAACCGTCCCAGGCGACCGTAGTCACCGATCTTAAAGTCCTTAATCTGAAGGCTCGGCCCTTTCTGCGCCGGACCTCTTAGGAAACAGAAGTGTACTTCAACGGGCTCAAAAGGTCCCCGGGAAAGGTCATGATTTATGACTTGTGATTGTTGGATTTCGATCCGTTTGGTGTGTTTCTGTGTTTAAGGTTTGTTGCTTTTGAATTTCAGAGTTCGCCTTTTTACGCACGTTATTATTAGCTAGCTCTCAAGTTTCTTTACCTTCTTACTAAAACGTGGCAAGTTTAGATTCCCAAGGTGAAATTGCTCCTGTAGAGCTTCCAGATCCAGAAGAAACAGTAGGGTGACAACGAATCGGTACTTTCCCGCAACATTTAACTTTGACACTTCTGCCCGTTATTGCCGTCTTCATGATTTGACAAGCGACGATTGGATGCTATGGTAAAGGTTTAATTGACGTCGAAGAAAACCAAAAATCCTGAAACGTTTTTGACAACGTGGGCCACGAGTTACCCCTCAATTTTATGTTAATATACACAGATTTAGCCAAGGCGAAGCTTCTATTTATATACATTGTAATAAGCAACAAACTTTAAACTAGTGAACTTAAAGCCATGACAAAGAAATATTCAAATCGCTACTGGACACTTGGAGCCTTCCATTTCCTTTTCGAGGGATGGTTTCAGTTGATTAAGAATAAAATATTCCCTAAACACTTCTGAAATGAATATAGACTCTCCGACCATCGGGCTCAAAGTCTTCTGTAACAGTTATACCGAACCCGAAAGTGGACTCAGCTTTACATGCAAAACTTAAACAGCCCCTTTTGTGGGGCGGGATGAATCTTAAAGGTAAGTTGTGGACCAGTAAAGTTTCGAATTGATCGGCGTGTTGTATTACAGCGTATTATTCGGTTTTGAATAGAAAACAAAAAGGGCTAAAATATTGTTCAAACAAAGGACAGAACAATTGATTGAAATGTTAATTTTAGGAGGCAAAACTAAGTTATTCGAAGCAACATTACAATCCAACAGTCAATAGCTTGTTAACAACAAAAAAATTTAAATTTGTTGAAAAGTCGTTTTGTGACTACTGCGCACGCGCCAGTAGTCACTATTGGCAACGAAACAGTTTTCCGAAAGTAAGTAAGTAACAATAGAATATACCTGGGAGCCAATCAGCATACAAAGATAGCCAATTTTCGGAATCGTTCGTCGCGACGATGATTTGTTGATAGTCCTCGATGACAAACGAAATGCTCGGCTGCCTCGTGGTCTGCTTTGATAAGTCTTGTTGCCGTATAACCGAATGAAAACACAGTGAAATACATCATCACTTCTCATGTTAAAAAAAGTCTAGAAACCACGAGATTTGTATAATAGATTTCTCCGCTCCAAATCAACAACATCGTGTAATGAAATTTTGGAGTAGACTTTCGGTCACTTGCTATGCAACGAAGTAGTTGATAGGATCATGTTTCACCAATGATGTTCATTTTCCAGGTAAATGACACGCAATACGCAACACACTTAGTAAGAAAACAGAATACTTTTCGAGTTTTTGTTCTTAAACATTCACTTTAAATGATGTTTTTGTTATTACAATATCGACTTCAACGCACGGTCAAGATATAATTTCTGAGGTTCCTGTCAGGTCTTGTGAGTCTTCCCACGCAATGTCAAGAAAGATTTAAAAGTCTCACGAAAATCCTCATACGGCTGCAAAGGAGCGACTAGACCATTTGCAGCGCATTGTAAAAAGGACATGTTGGAGTGACTACGTGTCCCGCTTTGACCTTTCACTGTCATTTCTGTCGTCACACAAGAAAAAAAAAAACAATGGTAACATTGCTAATGTGTTTCACGAAGTTACTCGCATTCATGGCAAAGGCTAAAAAAGCGTTACGAATCATTGAGAAACGTTGCAATGCATTTCACTCTTCAGAAGTAGTCACACGCGCCTCTCAAGCGCCTATACTTATGATTGTCAGTGTGACATATTACATCAGCTTACATGTAGGCACAAAGCGACCAGTCTTCCACCTGAGCCCACGAGATGGCTATGTGCTATTTGTCAGCGGATGCCTGATTTTGACAGCTGTCAATTCATCTTCATATGGATGGCTTATATAATTGACAGGCCAGTGTCAATCTGAGCAAGATCTAATGTGACACTTGACACCGGCTTAAATGAATTAGACGTACGGGTGGGCGTAGCATTAGGGCTCCGCTCGCGCGCGCGTGGAACTCCGCTATAAAGGCCGGTTTTAATTCATGATGCTTTTCCTCAGCTGGTAACTAACACGTTACTATTCTCACTGCATACATAATTGACCCGTAAAAAAATTAACTGCTTAAATTTCCGTCGTGTCGGGCCCGCGTACTGGTGGCATGATGCATGGCGGCCCTTGGTTAGAATTGCTTGGCTTTTGCCCGCCTCTTGGCAAGTTCAACGGAGTTCATTGGATGTGACTTAGAAGTTTCGCCCCTCCTACCTCCCCTGCTGGCGATTGACGTCGCTTACCTTCATTATTCGCCATACCTATTGTCCTAGCAGTCGCGGTTACCTCCCTTAGTTCCCCATGCCGGGACAATAGGTTTGGAGTGCGAATGTTATATTATTGTATGTACCAAAGGCAGTCAATGGTTACTTGTAACCTGGCTAGCTAGCATTTTTCTCTCTCCTTCCTCACATGCAAAATGGTCGCTGTGGCTTCCACGCCCGGACACAGGCTCCTTAAGAATTAATTGCCTCCTTATTTCTTAGTTCGAGTCAGCACTTTTAGAGCGTCTTATTTCTTTTTATAATCTCCAAGCAAGCAAGACTTAAACGATTTTTAGAGCGTTCTTGTTCATTTTGACTACAGTTAAGTCCAAAATAAAAAAGGAAATTACATACACACACAAAAAAAATAGTAATAAAAACGGGCCGATTTTTTAGTTTACCTCATGTCTTTTCGCTGAAGAGGGCCGATAAACTACAGCGTTTTATTCAGCGTATATATAAGCGCGGCTTACTCGACAAGCGTTTTGAGCACCGATTCCGACATTCTTGCCCCGTCTCTTATCAGTCTACACGTTTTTAGGGTGCCGCATTTTTTTTTATGGGCCGTGCTGAACTTGACATGGGTAATCTAAATTAAAGAGCGTATTGATGCATTCTGTCGGTGGAGCCCCCGTCCCCCACCCCCCTCACGAAAAAGTTGAGAAACTTCAAAATTGTTCAAGCTATGACCACCAAACTTAGCCACTTTGCCTAAAAGTTATCTGAGAACATTTTGAAGTCTTTGTGACGTGTACGTCCACCTTGATGTTACCATGACATCCGAGTTTTGACAACTATGTTTTTCAAAATTTACATTTTTCCTATGAAAAAAGCATTTGTTTTCAACTTTTACTTATTCAATTATTATATTACACTTAATTTAGTATTATTTTATCAAATTTATGATAGCTGTTAATGTAACACAGACTTTTTACTGACTACTTTTACAAAAAAACATGAATTCAAATTGACCAAATGGTAGATGCTGGGTTCAATTTTTTACAGTGTTTATTTCCCTAGGAATTTCAGAACTAGCAGATTTTTTTTGCTTCTTAAGCATCCATTTATACACAGATCAAATCTTCTATCACGGTTACCTCTACTTACATGGGTTTTAAGTAAAATGAATTGCATTTAATTAATTCAAAATGGAGGATCCAAGATGGCGGATGGTTCCAGTTTTTTCATTTGAAATAATAAATGACGTAATCATGACATAATTGCTGTAGTTAAAGATTATTAATGTGTTAGACAACTTCCTGGGTTCATCAGACATTTTACTTTTTAAGTTTGTCGCTTTATGGCTACTTTGAGGGGATTTTGTTAATGAATTGAACAAAGTGACGTTATAATGTTAATGATATATGAAATAAATCATATATGAACTGCGGAAATGAAATGAAAATGAAGAAATGATCGTCGTAGTGAACGCAATTTATGCAATTGCGTAAAGAAGCCTGAAAAAAATTCAGGACTTCAACGGGATTTGAACCCGTGACCTCGCGATGCCGGTGCGATGGCTTCAAATTGGGTCATTGTGTTAATCAAGTTATGCTAAATGTTGGAAATGATGAGTGCATAATTTTGTATAATTTTGGGGGCCGCATCATGAGCGGTTTTGAAGTTAAAGACGGGGGACATCCGAAGCCCCCACCCCCGGGTTGCAGGAAGCAAAAGAAAAAGCAGCGCTGTCAGACAAACATTGAAACTTTTAATATAGAAGTTCAACATACAGGGATTTTACCTTCAAAAAATTAACTCGCTTGTGTATAACTCAAGATCGTAGATTTTTAGCGATTGGTGTCATCGGTTAAACCGGCGACAACGCTAGTTTTTGATTCCTTCGCTTGTAATTCACTTGTTTATCTGATAGTTTTGTTTTGGCAGAAATTTCCCCTAGTTTCAGTCATAGTTGTAGTAGGGTTAGCAAATCTATCTTGCTGTTGCGATCACTGCGTGAACGTTGCGAATAAACCAGACAAAAAAAATGTGAGACAAAGGACTCCTCCCTCAGAATTAATTTTGTTCTGGAGCCAAGTGACCAGCGTTTTCGAGGGTCTCTCTCTCTCTCGCTTCGTAAGGCGGTAGGAGGGAACCTTGGGAAGGAGGTTGAAGAAATAGGGTTAACGCCTTCAAGACGGCGGACAGTAGACGTGAACAAACTTTTTTGTTATGGTAGTTTAATAAGGAGGCGGAGAAATAGAAATCTTCGAGAATATATAGCGAAGGAAGTAAACTTACTCCCTACTTTTAATAACAACGCTAGTAAGAGGTGCAGAATGTTTCTGTAAGACGCGGAAGCTGTGACAACTAGCCAAGAATGAAGCGTTTTAATTTGGATGTTTTCCTCGCAGGATAGATAAATGAGTGCCTTTGTTGACTCATCACACCACGTTACTTTGCTGTCTTTGCTGATCAAACTTGATGCCATCTTGATTTCAGTGATCCACAATTTCCACCGGGTACCGCACTGCAAAAACAGGCACTGGACCACCTATTTACATGGTCCCGGCACCCCTAAAATTTTGGGTACCGGTGCCCATCGCAATTCCATTTCAGACACTGGTGCCCAATTTTAAAGGTACCGTGCTAAAAACGCTCGTCGTGTAAACCGGGCAACAATTATGCTTCACAATATCCAAGAGCAATCTTTGCTATAAGGCACTGTTTGTTTCCTATACGGATATACCTAAAATCTCAGTCGAAACAGTTAGGAGACTTTTCTATCTTCTCGCACTCCTAATGTTGGTGTACAGAATTTTGTGAGTTAATTAACTGTGATAAACAACAATGGGAGGGGGAGAAGATGGGCGAGAAGGAGGTGGAATGCGCATTCGGTGGAAGTGCCCCAACTAATTTGTCTGGAACTGTTTTGGAGAAGGAATTTAACAAATTTGAACAGCTGTTGACAGATACCGAGGTTAAGTTTTACTTCAGTCACAAACGACGCTGTTGTAGTGCGCTGGGGCGTCCACAGTGATTTCCTTACGTTTCTACAGCAGTGAATTGAGCTGTTTTACATCTCAGCTTTAATATAAAGAGAACTTAAAGCTGAACATTTCCAGTTTTTTAGGCGCAGTATTCTAAAAATAAAAAGAACTGAGTATTTAGCATGACTGTTTTAATTTAAGTGTAAGATTGATAGCGTCCAAGGGCACGTGCGTTCTTTCTGTGTAAAATTCGGGGCTTTCTTATACGGAGAGTCGCTTGAATGTGGCACATTTCTAGAGGAAGCATGTGGAGGATAAAAAAGACCTCTTCGGCATCAAGGAGTAACTGAGCCGAAAGGGACAACTCTTCGAGTTAGTGCAAGAAGCGGCAGACAGATTGAAAGAGCAATTAACGGCAGATTTCTAGAGAAAGAGGGAAACTTTTCCTCTTAAAGAATAATGCAAGAAGTGAGGATTACTCCCCACAACGTATCAGTGAGAACAATATCACGTTTTCTAAATTTCCAAGGATACCATTAACTACAAGTGCGTATTAAAAATGAAAAGTTTCTCAACGACCTTCCAGCCTACAGGTGTAAAATCCACAACTTTTTATAATTATGTTGTTAACAACGTATGCTAATCTTCTAAATAGTCAATGCATTTTCGAGTCTCTTATTTCATTTTGAATATAAAGGAAAGTTTTTCCGCTTTGCCAATCGTGTCCGGGAAAATAGGAAGACCGTGTAAAATATTTGTAATATTTTCGCTGCCAAATTAGATTTATCCATAACATATAAGTCTAAAGACGCGCATAAACAACTCAAAACCGGCCGAAAATGGGGCTAGCGAAATCTCACTAAGCAACGGTTCACCGTAACGTAATACTCAGATCTTATTTGCATTTTTGTGGATAAATATCCAACAGAAAACAGTGACAAGAAAGAAGGTTGATACTCTGATAATGATGAAGAGTGCGCCGCCAGTAGATTGGAATTGATTGACAATTCAGGATTGTCTTGTAATGATCTATATGGAAATAAAATGTTTGGCGAGCTTAAACAATAATAATAATATATATATAAAAAACTAACAGTCACCTCTGCTGCGCGTTGTTCCTTGTTCTCTGCCCTTTAGACGGATTGCGAATCATTTCCTCGCTTCTTTTTGCCATCGGGAAAAATAGATCTCTTAAATATCATCGGCTATATAGATATTCCTTGAAACGAGGTGTCATGACATTTCACTATTTTATCGAACCATGAAATAATTGAGAAAAACGGTAAGGAAGTTTCTTACGAAAAACTTGACACATTATGGGAGGCGAAAATCGACTTTGGACTTCAGGCAAACTTACGTACAGGAAAAACATTATTATTTACGCATACTGACTTACCATTGGACGAGATGGTGGCATGTTTACTCTTGTAGCTTGACATATTCTTAGGGCCAGCTGCGAATCGGAGTTCGCGTGAAAACTAAAGGACTGTTGATAATTTTTTGCACTCGACCAACGAAGTAATGAAATAGTCTCCCAGTTACAACTTCAACTGGTACTGTTTCCTGAAAATATTTGAGTTACTATACAGTGGTGAGTAGTGGCGTCGTCAAGTAGATCGATGGCACTTAGACATGCTTTATAACAAACTTGAACGAATTTGCATGTCCCTGCCAACAGTAAACAGCGTTTAGATGTCGGAGTTGGCTAAACTGAGAAACCGCTGAGTATTAGCCGAGCACGGTTTTGTTGAACTCTCATAACATAAGCCCTTTTAACTATGAGTAAATTTAATTCATTTAAAAATAAGGCACTGTGCACAATTTCAAATATCTCAGTTTATGTATGAGAGGAAACACAACACTGAATTTCACAAATCTGAAATGCTATACCGACATTTAAAGTAGAAACTAATTCTCATCTTCGGGAATAGTGCTTACTAATACAAAGGATACAAACTATTTGAATCCCTGTCTTTAAATATTTTGACAATTCCAGTTTGCGGACTTGGAAAGTTATCATCTAAACACCGTGTTAGCTGGGACGAAAAGAATTTTGCACCTCACAAGCGCCAACCCAAACAGACATGCTTGAGCGATATAGAGGTCTTAGTGTCATTCTTAATTGTCAAGAATGCGGATGGGATGCTAAGACTCATACAAATATAATTAGGGAAGCAAAATGTTCTTGCTTTATCAGTAACTAAACTACCAAAATTGATAACAAAGTAGTGTCGCATTTCTGTTGACTAAGTGCCTTTATGTTCCCCCTTTGAAAAAAAAAAAAAAAAAAAAGACTTTGCCCGGGTGATATGGCTTTTCGCATGCATTAGGTACTGGCCTGCCTGTGGGTTGATGTACGTATGTCACTTGCTCTTAAGTTTCTCTTTCAAGGAAAGGTTAATAAATCGTAAGCGTCCCTCTGGACTTTGATCACCAGTGTTACGTTTTCAAGGAAGTATAAGAGTTCGCGGAATTATGAACAATGTCTTTTTCTTTGCTGGTTAGGTAACCTTTGATAACGTTGATAATCCGCACTTAATCTGAGACATAATTGCGCAGAATGCACCCCCACCAAAGCAACAAGAACGGGAAATGGGTAGGGTCTTTTATCAGGTATCAACACCAAGAAAAATAAAGAAGTGGAAATAACTGAAGTGACGTTTCAGCAATACAGCTAGCTTCCTGATACCTGTACAAATCAATGCTATCATTTCTAAACAACTCTTACACGCCAGTCCTTATGCAATTCTCATCTATAAATTGTAAGGCCCCCATGAGGCCAATGTGAAGTCGATATTTTGGATGATGGTGGGTCCAATACAGAGGCAGACGCCTATCTAAACCCCGCCTTTGGCAATATCTTTATAAAACGATCTTGGATTATAGACTCACACTACTTGCTGAACTTTAGTTGCTCTCTCAACTCGTGCATTGTAAAGTAGGAGGAAGCTCAGTAGCCCTTCCTTTGAAATTAGCCCCCCCCCCAAAAAAAACAAAACAAAACAAAACGTGCCACTGCTCAAGCATTTTAAATTATTTCCAGAACTCGTGCAATTCACAGAATGTGGAGTGGTGTTGGATACAATGGGTATCATACAGGTAATGGAAATGTCAACGACAGTGAAAAAAGCGACCTTTCGCAAGAAAGTGAAACTTTTAGCCAAACGGATTCTTCCACTCAAGAAGAGACAAAAGAGACTGAGCACTTAGACCTCTGGTGCCACATTATTCAAGCAGAAGTTCAGAAACGCCAACAGGTCAAGCTCCGGGGGTACTTTCTTATAAGAGGCTAATGGGAATGTGCCACTGGATGGCGTCGCACATTTTCGGATTTTGGGGTACGACTGTTCTTCATATTTACGGTTAGCAAACGTACCAGAATATTTGTACTGTAGGTGAAAAGTAAAGTGTTCTTCATTCAGTATAGGGTAGATACATAAATAGAAAGTGACTTAGCTGGGATCGCGAAAATTACATATTTGCGCAAAAGTGATTAAGATTGGGTCTAGGGGCTCTGAGAGGCCAGCGGCACATACCCAGAAAAAAATCAACCCAATTACCCCCCGGGGTCAAGCTCAACTCTTTGATCGATGAGTATGAAGAGAACGGAGACTCAGAAAACTTGGGTCTTGTTAAGGCCGATAATGCTCTTCCTATCTGCAGAAGAGAGCTCAGAAAGGTACTCTTAGAGTATATGCGATGGATGCCTGCTATGAAGAGAGATTCTACCTTCTGTAGAGTAATCAGGGTCACCCAATGCAATGGCTGTTTTCTGTAAAAGTATCTGTTCGGAGAGGCAAATATTGCCCCTAAGATTTTCTATTACTTGAGGACGATAAAAAATATCTAGATGAACGTCCCATTCAGGTACAATTTTCGACACTCATATCTAATAACGTCCCCACGATTTTCTGAAGTTTAATTCGTACATTTCACTGCCCAGGTTAGGCCATTTTTCGTACAAAAAAGGAAACCTAAGATTTTCGAATTAAAAAAGGTGATAGAGAAAGGAATAAGAAAAATTCTTACTTTCGTTATGATAATACAAGAATTTGTATAGCGCCATTTCCGTGAGCTCAATACGTTAAATTGCATCTAAGGTTTTTGGAAAAATAATACTGAAGCCCTTGTAAACTCGAAAAGACTAGGTTCCCCTAGTATGATCGAACAGGTACAGATTTATAGCGCCGCTTAGAATGCATTCCTAGAGATCTAAAAGTACTCTGAATAGCCTATAGAAAGCGTTTTCAATGTATTTAGGAGAGAAACCGTCTTTGGTGCACCTGAGTGATGTAAACCCAAAAAGATCTTAAGGATACACAAGGATTCGATTGGTTAGAATCAACCTAACTAGCCATCGATAAGCGAAAATTCTTGCTCCATCGATTGTTTGTCAACCAAGCTATTCCCGTCAATGAGGACTAGTTCCTACTTTAAATGTCAGTTTAGCGCTTCAGCTTTGTGAAACTTTGTTTTGTTTCCACTCATGCATTAACCGTATTTGAAATTATACCCAGTGTCTTATTTCTACATGAATTTTACTCACTGTTAAAAGGGCTCGAGTTGCGAGTGTTCAACAAAACCGCGCTCGGCTAATACTAAGTGGTTTCTCACTTTGGCCAAACCTGACATCTTAGCAGGGACATGCAAATTTGTTCTAGTCTGCTTATAAAAACCTGACTAGTGCCATGGATCTTCTCAACGTTACAAAGAGGCAAATTTAGAGCCTTACACCTGCATTCTCTAGTAGATAAAACTCCGATAGTAGTTAATAGGTTTTTTTTAGTTATAGCTTGTAGCTGCCTAAACGCTCAGGGGCCCTGTTCAGGGATCTTGTTATTTTTGTGCTGATTTTACAGTAAGCCTTCAGTGGTGATTTTTATGACTTTTAGTTTAAAGGTTCTGCTTTGGGATTATGTTTTAGTGTTTGCCTATATGAATGTTCAGGGGCCCTGAATTGGGAACCTGTTGCGTTTTGGTAGCTACATTTTGTCATTGTTTATTCTAAGTTCATTAGTACTTCATGTTATTTCCTTTAAATTTCACTAAGTTACTTAACCTTTGTTCATTAGTATTTTTAGTTTTAATTCTCTGCCGTGTATTTTGTATTTTAATCCGTTAATTACTACCCTTTGTTCACTATTATCTTTTGTTTTCTGTTCAACTTGCTACGTAACCTTTGTATAATTAGGGTTAATTTAGTAATTGTTATACCTCGTATTTAAGTCTCGTTTGTAATAGTTACTATATTTGGAGAACATGATAAAATGGCTCATATACCATAATGGCTAAGCCAATCAGAGCTCCAGAATTACATTATCCAATGATTCAGTTTTTAATAAATATATAAAAATGTACATATAAAAAAGTTAACTTTTAGAATTGAGCACTTGATATAGCCACAGTTGTGTGCAAACACCACTACTGTGCCGCAGAAATTCAAACTCAAGCCTTCGTTTTTTCCGGCTTAACACGTAAATTCAGTTCACCGACGATTATGTTCGTGATTCACTGCGGAGAATAAATATGTTTGTGACGTATAAAGCGAATACTAAATCTGATACCTATGCAGCAAGTCTAAGAGCAACAAAACAATCCCTGATTTGCGAATAAATTAATCGAAAGCATATGGTTCACACGATTTACAACAAATGAAATTTTTGTTCATGAACACGTGCGTAGAGTGCGCCAAATCTCTTCGTGTCTCTCTCTTTTAGGTGAAAACGGTCACTGAGAAACACACAACAGATCGCATAATCATAGTCGCACTGGAATTTCCTATATGTAGAACTTTTTGCATCAGCAATAGAACGATGGTAATGTTTCTTTTATTGGCAAAGAATCCCGGAATCATGTTTATGGCTCTTTTAAGTGTGAATAAATGTAAGAGCTCATGCAAAAACCCTGTATGAATTGTTTTTAAAGTTTAGCAGGTTGTCGATTCAGTACAAAAATGATTGAACATTCGCCTTAAACGTGAAAGCAAAATGAGCTTAATGAAGAGAAAAAGGTTTTCATGATGGAGAGACCAAGAAAGGCATTAGCACCAGCTTGTCGGAACATGCTCAATTTATTAATGAACTCCTGTCGGGTGATGTGAACCGGACGGACGGACTCGAAATTGAAAGAAGGGGAGATATTGAGCGACCGAACTTTAGCTTACCCTTACTTTAGTTGTCATTTGTTAAGCACTCAGTCCCTTCGCTAGTCTCTTATTTATTTTGAAATTAATTGAGGAAGGTTTTTCCCCGCTTTTGTTATGTCAGGAAAAAAGGGGACCGCGCATTAATAGTAACATTTTTGCTTCAATCGTTCTGACGGTAAAAGTATAGGATCAGTTTGCAAATAACCCAAGCATAACAAGAATGTTGTTGTATCCGTTTAGCTCCAAACTCTAAAACCCTTTGTCGATATATTTTTAAAACCGGGTGATGTTTACCGACTTCGCAACCGAAACTTGAACCTTAAACGAATGGCGGACGAAAATCTTACCATTACATAATTCTCTAAAGTCGCACTGAAACTGCTCAAAATGGGCCGAAAATGGGACTGGCGAAAACTCGCTAACCAACAAATAGTAAATCGAAAGGAGGTATAACTCAGTTATTTGTACATTTGTGGATAAATATCCAACCGAAAATTGTGACAAGGAAGTAGGTTGACACATTGATTATGACGGCGTGCGCCGCCAGAGGATTTGAAATTGTTGACGATTAAGGATTTTTGTAAAATAGGCTGCAGTTTCGCGAATTTAAATAAAATAGAAAACTAACAGATACCTCTGTTGGACGTTGTTTCTTGTTCTCTCCCCGTCAGACGGAATTGAAATCACTTCCTCGCTTCTAGTTGCCATCGAGGAAAGCTAGATCTCTTAAATATACAATTGGCTATAGAAAATCCCTTGATTTCAAGCAGAACTCTCGTCCTTAAAAAGTCCTCAATTCTGTGTTCTTTCTACAAACAGCTGGAGAAAGTGATCGTTTTATGGTCTGATAATTTTTGTGGTGGCTTTAAACCGCTTATACGTGCGATTCTCGGAAAGCAGTAAAATCTGGCGCCACGAACCTCTTCCTGTCTCTAAAAACAATACCGGATGTGTGGTCATACGTCAATCAATGTTCGTTCCACTCTCCCTACAAAATTTGTCATCAAGTTGCCATTGTCCTCAGGTCGTGCGATTGTCACATGACAAGAAGACACATAATTTTATTCACTGCTACGAAAAAGGTCCCAATAATCACTGGTGGCCCAAGCTCGAAATATGTGCAGTGGCGAACATCGACATTGTTGCGTGACAGTCGAAATATAAGGATTTGTATGGAGAAAAAACCTATCGCTTCCTTAACCTAGGAAAATGAAAGGATTTCAATAAAAAGCAGCTTTCCTTACATAAAATGTGTGTTATGTCTCTCCTGTGTGGTCCATGGGCCGATTTATGGCCGTTTAATGGGTTGTCCTGTAAACGGTTTTCTCTCTATGTAAAGGTTCCTGTGTTTTTTGGTGTGAATTCATGATTTAGTCGGTTTTCTGGCTGTTATTGTTTCACCCCTGTCACTCTCTTCATAATAGCAAGAGCTGTGACAGGGGTGAAACAATACCTGCCAAAAGAAACCAACCAAATCGATAAATTCAAGCCAAAAAACTCAGGAATACATCAAAGGTAAGTCTCTTTTATTTATTTTAACGTTCGCAGACCTCAGTATTTTATTTCTCATACAAAGTCTCAACGGTCGGCTTGTAACGCGATACCGACTCTCTTGTGAGAAACAAGAGGCTGTGTATAAAAGTGGGACGGGGACAAGGGGACGAGGGCATCGGGACGAGTGTGTGGGGACTTGGGACTTGGGACTTGGGACTTGGGGACGCGAGACAGGGGACTTGAGGACGGTTGTGCCTAAATCATACCGTCCAAAAGGACAGCCGAGGAGTACTAGGAACGAGTTGCCGATTCTGGCCGACTTCGGAAATTCTCGAAAACATCCAATATGGCGGCTCAAGCGTGGTGAAAACTGACAGCCAAAGGAGCCGTTTTATCGCCACAGAAGCGTGATTTACGGTATTGTTGACGAAGTTTGCGTTTATTGTGAGTTTGGAAGTGTTCTTGGTCCTGTATAGTAAGCAATCCTTTTAGAAATGTCTTATCAATTTGTCTTGTCCTGCTGGCCGGTATTACCGAACAAAATAGTACCGTCCAACGGGACATCCTAAATTATAGCTACATTTGTTGGCATGTACATCACCTCTAGCTGTTATTGTTAAACTGTGTTGTACGACTGGATTTCTGCAGGTTTCTACAAGCTTAGGATAACTCTGTGGGAACCTTTTTATCCATAAAAGTGGCCTTGTCCTTTTGGCCGGTATTACCGAAGAAAATAGTACCGTCCAACGGGACATCCTGAGCGTTAGCAACATTTGTTAGGAGGTATATTATATCTGGGTTTTTTATTGTTAACCGGTGTTGTATAACTTGATTTCTGTAGGTTTCTACAAGCTTAGGGTAACTGTATAGGAATATTTTTATTCATAGAAGTGGCCCTGTCCTTTTGGCCGGTATTACCGGAGAAAATGAGTTTTAGCAACATTTGTTAGGAGGTATACCATATCTGGGTTTTTTATTGCTAAATGGTCATTCTTTAGGTTTCCAAAAGGCCAGGGCAACTAAACAGGAGTCTTTTTTTTTTTTTCGTAAAAAATGCCTTGTCGTTTTGGCCTGTGTATTCAAAAACACGAGGCGAAGCCGTTTTTGTTCCGACAATACACGGCTGCGAGTTTGAACGGCTTCTAAATCTCTGATATAGATCAATTCGCTCTTACACGTAAAGTTTAGCCCTGTCTTTATCAGATATAACTGAGACACTCATTTAACATTCACTTGATTTCTTTTGTTTTTTTCTCAATGAATTGTTAGTGAGTCTTTTAAGGTATTTGCACAGGCAAAAATTCATGTTTCAGAAATCAAGTTTTTTCAGCCCGTTTATAGATTATACCACCTAATATTGAAAAATTAGCGTTTTATCTCAATATTCCTGCAAATTTAAATTCTACGCTTTGTCAAAGTTTTGCATTTTTAGCGGAAGTCACTTCTACAGACCGAGAAAGAGGCTGGGTCGGTTACTAGGAAAAAGTTGAGTATGCATAATTTTAGGCAGCGGTTTCCCTCTCTGCTCCACGTTTGAAGATCAACATCGATCAAGATGGCGGCCAGGGAAGCAGCATTCGAGAATTTTAAAGCCGAATTTGTTCGCAACGGGTAAGTTTTATGTGTGTTTTATTCGAGCTTATTAATTATTTCCATTATTCAGTGAATAATGGAAAAGCATCAGTGAGTAAGGTGGCACAAGTTAGTGGAGAGGAAAACAACTGACCTGCAGTGCAGGCGTATTTTGTGTAGGCGAAAACTTATTCATGATCGTATTGTTGTAGCTGGATCTGGATGATGTTAAATTCAAATGTAAGCGAAACACTTGCAATATTTGAAAGAGCACTTGAGCAACACGATACAATACTGGGAACTAAATACTTAAACAATATCTTAAAAATAACGCTATTTTTTATTTCCCTCTGAGACACCTGGAGAATAAAAAACACAAAGAAGATAGTCTAAACATTAAACCTAAAACTCACAACCACCTGAGTTTGACCAAAGCTCAAAAGTGCAATTGCTTTGTTTACTAAAGATCTCTGATTCATGTGGTTACACTCCTCATACCCTTAAAACAATTAACTTCACAGATTTAATCAGACAGTGTAAAAATATCCACTACGATCCACACTTAAAAACTGAACTGTGACTGAACTGAACTATTTCAGTGCATGCGATCAGGCATAAGAAATAGTGATCTCCATCAACATTCTCCATGAACATTACACTTTCACACAATTACCAGTTATTAAGAATTTATAAAATGATCGAGTGATCGGTGTCGACGTTAACACGTTTTTGTGCTAAAATAGTAATACGTATCCATTTGAAGATGATAGAAAGGAACGCAAAATAGACTTACCCCGCTTCGGCTGATGTTTAGAAAATTGAGAAGGACTGAAGAGCATCACCGTACAGCTGAATCCAGTCAGCGACCCTCAATAAAAATCATTTAAGCTTACATAATCAACAACTACATGAATGCCCGAGTTTCTGACCGTCATCCGCCACCGTCAGGAACTCATACGATATTGCTTCTCGAACGAATCCCTCATTTTAATTTTCCCCAATTCAGTAAGTATCTTTTCCAGATCTTCTCCTCACGACGACACGCTTTCTCTGACTTCTCTGGCCGCTTCCCGCTATATTTCCTTGTATTTGGAGGGAATTTAGTCCTTCTTTGATCCCTTTAAACCCGCTTTCGTCTGCCTTCCATCGGCGTATTAAAGGCTCGGGTTAAGGTTGTGGAAAAGATGAGCCGTTTTTCGACAGATGGCAAAAATAAATAGAAATTATTTCTATTTACTTTTGTTCTTTGAAAACTGAAGAAGTATGCGCATTTGGAACGAGATAGAATTATATAAGGGTGATGAAAAAAGTAGAGCATTTCTAGCTAATAATTTGTACTGTTTGAAATACGGATTAGCTGGTGTGTCTCACGTTGAGATTTATGCAACTGGCTCCAAAAGTCAAACTCATGTGACTGCTACCGCAGAGATGCCAATCTATTCGGAATTATAAGTAGGAAAGACCCCTAGTTTAAAGCCAAAACTAGAATAAGTCAATGAAATGACAAGTCGTTCAGTAAATATGTACTTGGGACTTTTCGGCCCAGCGATATGATTGTTTCCACCATAGTTAATTGAGTGGAATGGTTATGAAACCCGTCAGACTCCTTTGTTATATGTTTTTGTGGACCTGAAAGTGCACAACGTTCAAAAGAATTCCTATCATTTTGATTGTATTGACCAATAAAAACGTTGCATTAATTTATTCCGTAACAATTTGCCAACAGAAAACAAAGGATTGTGCACTTTCACGGTGCTTTGAACATAAACTGCAGCACTGTTGTTTTTATCATTGATGTTTGCCGCTTTTCATAACCAGTCTCCTCTAATAACTATGTTTCCACGAAGGAAGTTTATTCCTACAAAGCATCTGCGTCATTCGGGTCCATTCCCAGTTCAGTGAACATGAATGACGTGTCTTTTTCTAAACTGAACATGGGAATGTGACGTCTGGTCTCAAATTCTAAATCTCGCCATTCATCGTCAGTTTATTCATTTCCAAACTATTTAATGATAACAGTTTTTTGGAAAAATAATAAACGATGGCTTTTTTTAAAATCATGCACAGATGGCTTTTAATAGGCACTAAAAATAAATACTGCCAGCTCTAAAAAGACTCAAAACCGCCAATCCTTTTTCTTGCGGTCTCCATTATGTAGGGGCCTTCACTGGGTGACCAATGCTAAACAACGCCGTGAATAGCTTTGAAAATTTAACCTGATGTTCTGAACTGGACTGTATCTTCAGTTTACCGCAGTTGATTTACTTTTGACTAACATCAAACAAAAACTATAATCCTCTGATACGATATCAGTGATTTGGCAAAGATCTTTAATCCATTTTACAGGTGCGCTAGGATCAAAGATCGTTTTTTCAAGCAAATGTCAACAGAAAGAATGATCTAGCAGGTGTACGGTTCATTACTTCACAATTGGAAAAGTGTCAAAATGTCGAGATTTCACGGTTCTATAACTCGTACAGAATATTGACCATTGATTAGAGCTAACAAGCAGCATAACTTTCATTTGACTGCTGGTTGCGTCACAGAGAACAGTACCTCGCAGTTTCCGTGGTAAGTACGCTGCTTCCTTTTCAGTTACATAGTCAACTACTTCTATTTTCTAAAGTGTATCTCAGTGTTCGTGACTGAAGCAGCAGTCTGTTAATTGGTGATTAGGCTAGTGCTCTGAGCTCGTCTTCCACATAGCCATAGGGTAAGTTCGAGTTTTCGTTCCCAGAAGCTCATGATATGTAAGTTGCCTTTGCGTTTACTGATGATTCTCGTCCCTGCAAGCGATTGTCTACAGCGTAAGTTGGGGCTAACTGCTTGAACAGCAGAAATCTTAATGTGAGAAAAGTTGA